GTGCACAGGATGATGCTCAACCAACTGAGCCACACTAACTGCACCTCCTTCCTCCCCACCCACCTCCAGCTTTATTGATGTACTAGAGGGGCCCAGTGCACGCATTTGTGCATGGGTGGGTTCTCTCTGGGTGGCCTGCAGGGATTGGGCTGAAACCCGCAGTCCAGCGCCGCCTGCAGCTTCTACCTGCTGCTCCCACTCATCCCAGCCCCACTGTACCTGCTGTGGGCTCATGCCCAATCAGTCCAGATAGGGAGATGCTCATGCTGCTGCGCTCGCCAGCCATGAGCCCTGCATTTGGTGACCTCCCAAGGGGAGTGGCCTGCGGGATTGGGCTGAAACGGGCTCTCCGACATCTCCTGAGGGGTCCCAGATTGCAAGAAGGCACAGGTCAGGCTGAGGGACCTCACTGATGCACAATCGGGCCAGGGAGGGACCGTGGGAGGGCTCCAGGGCATGTCCGGGACATCTCTCTCAGTCCCGATTGGCCGGACCCCAGCAGCAAGCTAATCTATGGGTCAGAGCATCTGCCCCTGGTGGTCAGTGCATGTCATAGCAACTGGTCGACCAGTTGACTATCTGCCCCCTAGTGGTCAGTGCATGTCATAGCGAGTAGTTGAGCAGCCTTAACATATCATTAGCATATTATGCTTTGATTGGTTGTTCTGCCATTTGGTCTATTTGCATATTACCCTTTTATTATATTGGATGATCAACAAATAGGAATTGTATATGTTTAAGATATACAACTGGATATTTTGATACATGTACACATTGTGAACTGATGACCACACTCAAGCTAATTAACATAGCCATCACCTCACATAGTTACCTTTTGTGTGTGTGCTGAGAACAGTTAAGATCCCAGAGCAGTGGTTCTCAACCTTCCTAATGCCGCGACTCTTTAATACAGTTCCTCATGTTGTGGTGACCCCCAATTTCATTGTTACAAATTGAACATAATTAAAGCATAGTGATTAATCACAAAAACAATATGTAATTATATATGTGTTTTCCGATGGTCTTAGGCGATCCCTGTGAAAGGGTCGTTCGACCCCCAAAGGGGTCGCGACCCACAGGTTGAGAACCGCTGAGTACAAAGTTTCTATGATGCAAGATGAACGAGTTCTAATAACAGCATAGCCTCTACAGTCAATAATACTGTAGTGTGCTTGGAATTTCCTAAGAGGGTAGATCTTAAGTGTTCTCCCTACTCTTAAAGGGTCTCATGCTATTAAATCTAAGAAGAAACTAGTTTTCAAGAAACTAGCATTAGCAGCCAATCTTAGTAAGATTGCTAAGCTTGGCTAGCAGTTGTGGACATAAACTGGTGTTTATACATTACTAAAATACAATATGTTCTAAATTGTCCATACCTTCAGAAAAAATTATTGTGAAAAATTGGAAAATACATACAATTCCATTTTTAAAATCAGTAATCCCATCTAAAGATAATGGCATCACATTCTGATGAATATCCTCCATCACTATTTTCTAGACCTTTATACTAAATGCATATGTTATTTATAAAATACTGCCTACTGCCCGATAGCTTACTTTTTCCACTTATTAGTATATCAGAAATATATTTACATGTCAGTGAATATAGAGTCACTTCCCTTCCAATGCTCTTTATAAGGAGATTGCAATTTATTTAACCAATACTCTATTGCTTAACATTTATATTTCCCCCCATTTTCTGCTTTTATAAACCATACTGGTAAACATCAATTTACAGAGAAGTTTATACTTTTGTCTGACATTTCCTTAGCAAAACTCTTAAATATATTTACATGTCAGTGAATATAGAGTCACTTCCCTTCCAATGCTCTTTATAAGGAGATTGCAATTTATTTAACCAATACTCTATTGCTTAACATTTATATTTCCCCCCATTTTCTGCTTTTATAAACCATACTGGTAAACATCAATTTACAGGGAAGTTTATACTTTTGTCTGACATTTCCTTAGCAAAATTCTTGGATTTGGAAATCCTGGGTCAAAGAGTTTTGTTTTTTGTTTTTTTTTTTAAGCTGGGGACATACATCACTATATTCCCTTTTAAAAATTGTTACTATTTACTCATAGTGTGTGAGTATTCCCTTTTCCATATTCAAATGTCAACAATGGGAATTATTTTTTATAGCTTTTACCAATCTGATAAATGAACAACAGTGTCATTGATTACTATTAAGGTTAAACTTTTTATTCCATTTGTTTGTGAGCCAATAGTATTTCTTTTGTAAATAACCTAGTTATGTTCCTAGAACATTTTCCATTGGGAGATTTACTATTTTTTTCTTATTCATCAATATTATTTACATATTAATTGTTTGTCATATGTGTAAAAATATAGCCCTGCTGACCTTTTATCTGTTACTTTTTAAAAATTTTAAGTGTAATTGGTATATAATATTAGTTTAGTTATATTAGTTTCAGGTGTACAATATAGTGATTCAACATTTTTATACCTTACAATGTGATCACTCCACTAATTCTAGTATTAGGTCTGTCATTGTGCAAATTTATCAGAATATTATTGACTGTATTATTCTCCTTAATCTTTTCATCCATCCCCCAACCCTCTCCCCTCTGGTAACCATCTCTTGGTCTCGGTTTCTATGAGTCTGTTTTTGTTTTGCTTGTTTGTTTTATTTTGTTTTTTTAGATTCCACATGTAAGCGAAACTATATGGTATTTTCTTTCTCTGTCTGTCATTTCATTTAGCATAATATCCTTTAGGTCCATGGAAATACCAAGAAAATACCATATGGTTTCATTTATAATGGAATATCACACAGCGATAAAAAAGAACAATGTCTTGTATTTATTCTTTATTTTTAACTTTGTTTATGGTTCTGTTTTCTGTACAAAAGTTTTAAATGTTCGTTCATGAAGTCAAATTGATTAGTTTTTTCCTGTATGATTTCTTTTGTAAGCAGTTATACCTTGGCTGACGGTTTTCCTCTGTTCTGCAGCTGGTATGCTGGGGCAATACAATGTTGGTAACTGCAAAAACAGTATTTCTCATCCCAAGATGAAGGGTGGACAGAGGCGCTACTTTATAGCAGCTGAAAAAATTCTTTGGGATTATGGTCCTCAAGGTTATAACAAATTCAGTGGTCTTCCCCTAAATGCCTCTGGCAGGTAAGCTTTTTTGATGGTGTTTCTGAGCCTCTCGTTAAAGCAGTTTCTGTTGGCCTTTTCCCTGAGATCTCATTCATATTCCCAGCACTGCTCTTATGAGCACATCTTATGAGATGACATAATGATACCACGTAAGGAGTTCTGAGCCCTGCATATACTGCTGAGAATTGGCAGACTATTTATTGCTTCACAATTTTCTGGCTAAATCAAAACACCAGATTCATTCATTCAGTCATCAAACATTTCTTGAGCACCTACTATGTGCAAATTGCAGTGCTAAGTGCCATGAGCAATACTAAGCTGACAGAGAACAGAACAAAGCCTCTTTGTACATATGGAGCAGCCTGTTTTGAAAAGGGAATAAGACAGGACTCTTTCAATGGAGATGAACTGGCAAGGAAGGTTACCTTTTTTGGTTCGAGGACAGCCTGATGTAAGCCTCCCTGTACAGTAAAATGCCATTTTCCTTTCAAATCTAGCACTAATGTCACCTCTTTAGTGAGGCCTGCCCTGACTCCTGAGTCATAATTGATAATTTTCTCTCTTGGCTTTAGCACTAATGTCACCTCTTTAGTGAGGCCTGCCCTGATGAGTCATAATTGATAATTTTCTCTCTTGGCTCCCATAGAACATAGTATTTTCAAAATGGAATCTAATGGTTTATTAAGTGGTTATGGATTCCTATTACTTCTTATTGTAGAATCACATGCAATGATGTTTGTGAAAGCATTTAAAAATGTACATTGCAATACCAAAAAGTACTGCTATTACCCTCTAATCCTTTTTATGTTTGGGGGAAATGTTTTTTTTAAAATTCTCTTTGTGATCAATAAGATACCTTTTGTTTTTTTTCACTTTCGATTTCATTCATTCATTCATTCATTCATTCATTGTTCCACCAAACTGCTGCTACACTTGATCCTTGTTTAAAGAATGTGTGAACCATATATGAAAAACTGTGATATCAACATTCTCTACTGACCAGTATTTCTCCATAAGCAGAATAATGAGAATTAGTGTTGAAAATTATGTCTTAGAAGCCTTACAGAATATGAAGCGCCTTTTAAAATCTGAAGTTAGATTAAGCTACATTCAATCGATATTTACTGTAATAAATGAAAGCACAACATACACTAAGTGACATGAGGGATGCAAGAAGATCTCAGACCATGTCCCCACCCTAAGGTGGAGAAAGAATCTGTATGCGCAGAAGAGAGGTAACAGCCAGTTACAAATAGGAGTGAGTTGTTCAGTCAGTTCTCTGGGCATTCAGAGAGAACTAAGAGACAGGAACCCTTCACAGAGGAAGCAGGACCTAAGCAGGGCCATGAAGAAGGATAGAATTTGTTACACAACAGTGAAATTTTAGCTGTAGGGGTTCATGCAGCACCTTATATGCAGGAGAGAGTGACTAGATCAGAATGACTGCAGAGGGGGATATGCAAAGGTGAGTAGGCATTTACATAGAGAGAATTGGGACAAAATAAACTGGATATCAATTGCAGAGGTCCTTTACCACTCATTTGATTGGCAATTGGAAGCAAACGACAATTTTGAAAATGGTATTTGACAATGCAAATGGCCATTTTGGAGATCAGTGTTGCAGTAGTGTGTATGCTGAGAAAAAATGGAGTGAGTCCATGTGAAATAGAGGATGGAGAGTTAGAGGTTCATGTAATGGTCCAAACACAAGGTGATGAGGGCATGAACTGGGTCATGGCAATAGAAAGAAAGGAAAGAAAAAGATGCAAAAAAAGGTGCTGAAAAGGAAGGGTGCACTAAAAGGTTACAAATAAACAAAATAAGGGGGTGGGTAGTAAACAGCCTGTGTAACTGCAAGAGTGATGGTACCATGGTGCACTAAAAGGTTACAAATAAACAAAATAAGGGGGGTAATAAACAGCCTATGTGACTGCAAGAGTGATGGTACCACTGACAGAAATAAGATAATATAGAGTTAGTACTAGTCAGAATGTATAGTATTATATTTCACAACTTTGAAGCAGTATTTCATGTATGTAGCTTATATAATAACTCCATTAATTAAACGACTTGATTAACTAGACACTCCATTCCTTAATCAGGCCAGATACCAAAGAGCTTACGATTTGCAGAGATATTCATATTGACATCAGCAAGAGAGAGAGGGTTGCTTGTTCTGCAAAGAAACCAGTTAGCTCTTTGTTACTTTGTAGGACACCATTCTGGGACTCCAGTACCGGTAAGTACGGAGTTACCTGTGCCTTCTTCTTCAGTTGCTGGACCTTTGGGGAAGAAAGTGCAGTGGCTAAGAGAGAAATGAGCTTGCGCATCATCCAGCTTCTGGCGACTTTTAAGGCTGGTTGACTATTCCTGGGAACTCTGTTGAAGCCTGTTTTGTTGTTTCTTGGGAGATGGGTGGGTGAATGGGCTAAAGATCATAAAACCAAGCTCCATAATGAAGACAGTTGGTGGATATGCAGAGATGTGTTCTCAGTCAGGTTCCTACTCTTTCCACAGTGACTCTGAGCTCTACTTCACACAAGGGGACAACAGAATAGGAGGAAAATATTGGAAGGCTCAATATATAGAGTATGTTGATGCAACTTTCACTCGAAGAAAGAGACTCTCTGAGGCAGAAGCCCATCTTGGAATTCTTGGTAGAGTAAAACCATCTGGCCTGTTTTGAATGGGGGAGGGGAGATGTTTTAGCAGGCATGTACATCTACTTGGAATGACTTGTCTTCTCTTGCCTATATTCACGTCTCTCTATTTTCACCCTCTTCTATATTCTCTTCTTGATATTTTTCAGGCCCAGTCATCAGGGCAGAGGTGGGTGATACCCTGTTAGTGACCTTTGCCAACAAAGCTGACAAAGTCTACAGTATTTTGCCCCATGGCGTGGTCTATGACAAGGCCTCTGATGCAGCCCCAAACATAGATGGTAAGTCTCCTCCTAAGCTTAGGGAGGAAACAGGATGAGTATGCAAAGGACTTAGAACCGGACAGAACAGGTTCAAATCCTGGTCCCTTCACTTACCAGCTCAGTGAGCTTGGGCAATTATTTCTACTTTCTAAACCTTATTCTTCTCACCTATCAAATACAGATAATGGCACTCAACTCACAGGGCTTTGGGAAGCAATGCAGAGAATTCAGGACGGAGTCTGGCCCACAGTAGGTTCTTAGGAAATGTTAATTCCTTTTTTTTTTCTTAGTAATGTAATAAATCTCAAAGCAAGCCACTTTCACAGTCACCCCCACTTCTTTAAGGTAAATAACTTTTCTGCTGCAGGTTACATGGAATTCTGTGGGTGAAGGATGAGGGGGAGATGTTTTGTTTGCATCAAAATTTTACACATGGTTTTTGCTCCAAATCTACCAACAAAATATTTATTTGTTTGTTTATTTATTTATTTATTTTACTTTTTTGTTAATCCTCACCCGAGGATATTTTTCCATTGATTTTTAGAGAGTGGAAGGAAGGGGGAGAGATAGAGAGAGAGAGAGACGGATGTGAGAGAGACACATCTATTGGTTGCCTTCTGCATGCCCCAACCAGGGCCTGGGACCAAGCCTGTTACCAATGTACCTGCCCTTGACTGGAATCGAACCTGGGACCCTTCAGTCAGCGGGCTGACACTCTATCCACTGAGCCAAACCAGCTTGGGCCGAAATATTTATTTAAAACCGTATTATGTGCTTATCATCACCGATGGCTTCTCCCCATCACAGAGTAGGCGACACAGGCTCCCTGTATGTAAGGAAGGCAGCTTGTGCCCAGCGGCTGCAGGAAGTGTCCTTCCCTTCATGACTCTGCTCCTGGGAAACTCCGGGTCTCCTCCCAAGCCTCCTCCATCACTGCAGCTGACATCATGGCTGCCTGGGCTACCTCTTCATGTCCCAGTGTGAGGCCAGGCCTATCCAGAGCTGGCTTTGTGAGGATGATGAGGAGGATAGAGGACGAAGGAATGGAGAGAGAATTCCTCCTCCCTAGGCCCATCCTCGCCCTCCTTGCTGCAGTATCTCCTGTACCTGCACTCTCTTCCTTGGTTAAAACGCTCACAATGACTTTTTGTATGTGTCCAGAAAAAAAATGTGACAACCCAAATGCCTATATTTTCTATTGTTTAACTCAGCAAACTTATAGGGCACCTTTTTGCAAAGTCTTGGTTAAAACGCTCACAATGACTTTTTGTATGTGTCCAGAAAAAAATGTGACAACCCAAATGTCTATATTTTCTATTGTTTAACCCAGCAAACTTATAGGGCACCTTTTTGCAAAGCCCTGGACAAGATGCAGAGTGGCTCCGTCTAGCAGGAGAGATTCAATGTGTTCATTGCCATGTAACGTGAAGATTAAGTGCACTGTCTTTAGAATTGAACGGCCCTGGGTTTGGATTCCAGATCAGCCTTGCAGCCTTGAACTTTTCTTGTAGTTACTTGGGTTATTTCCTACTTCAACCTTCAAGGTTTTAAACTCTTTAAAGATAGGCCTTTGGCTTAACTTTTTGGGATATACTTTGCTAGGCCAAATGTAATATATTCCACATAGAAGGCACTCAGTAATATTTTATGGCTACATTTAATTGCTAAATGGGCAACTACCACATTTTAAATATATGCTAAACCTGGTATTTGAGTAAGAATAGCATCTATGAAAATAATAAATGTAATCTAGAAGACAATCCTTTGATAGAAGCTTTTGTCTCATGAAACAGAAGACTGTGGCAGCAGCTTCCCTCGGTAGATACGTAAGCAAAATCCACTGTCCTGCAAAACATATCAGAGAGAGACCACCCTGGGCTGGGAGACCCAATCTGACAAGTTTAATAATGTTCCTGGTTTTTGCTTCGAGTCATTGTTCCATTTGTCTCCTCAGGATTTGTGAAACCAGGGGCACATGTTAAGCCGGGTGAAACCTTCACGTACAGATGGACAGTGCCTGAAAGCGTAAGCCCCACAGCTGCTGACCCTCCCTGTCTGACCTACCTTTACTTCTCAGCAGTTGAGCCAATCAAGGACACCAGCGCTGGCCTTGTAGGGCCGTTGCTAGTCTGTAAAAAAGGTGCTCTCAATGCTGATGGCACACAGGTAAGTCAACAAATGTTACCAAGTTCTTCTCAGGGTTGTATGTAAGAAAAAGCAGTAATACGGTTACAGATCAGATCATAATAAAGAGTCGGTTACAAAAAGCAATTTCTCCCTCTTCCTCTTGAAATTGACTTCTACACTATGGGAATTTTATTTTTTATTTTTTGGTAAATTTACATCTGACTTTCCTGAGTTACAGATGCCCACCCAGAAACCCAGGATTTCTGCTTGTTGGCTGGGGTTTGGTGGGTCTCTCCCTGTGCATTGCTTTGATTCTAGAATCTTCTGAGATCGACATGGAGTGCAAATTGGGATCCTTTCTTGTTGGTCAAGGTTACTCAAACCTGGCCACCCATTGGAATCACCTGGGAGCTTTGAAACATCTTTTTTTCACGTGTTCCAGACCAAGCCATCAGAATCTCCAGGTGATTCCAATGAGCAGCCAGGGCTGAGTGAGAACCGCTGTTAACACCTCACTACGAACAGGAAGTTAATCACTGTGGCTGAAAGGACAAGAAACATGTACATAACTTCTGGCAAGTCCCACCTTAGAGGCTTGGATGGTTGCACTGGTTAGTGTGGCAAAACATAGCATCCCAAGCCGTGTCTGCGTGCTATTAAATACATGGATGAAAAGAGGGAAGTCCAGTCATCTAACCATTTGAAATGGCTTCACCAATCAGAAATAGCAAGATTATTTATTTAAATGGTATATTTTATAATGCTTGCATTGTATGGACCCACTTCTGGGCTCAAAGGAACTGCTAGGTAGAGGACCTGAAGTGTCTTGGTCCGCCTCACATTCTCACTTCCCTGTGCAAAGGACCAATCCTGGAAATGTCTATTGGAGATTCAGTGTGTCCCTGGCCCTTTGAATGGCCCTCAATAATGCTGTGCAATAAGACTGAATATTTATACTGAACCCCAACAATCAGATAAGGTGAAACAGAATGACTATCCCTATTTTAAAGCTGAAGGAACTGAGGCTCAGAGACATTGAATGATATCCCAGGAAACACACCTAGTAAGTAGTGATAGTCAGCAGAATATGGAACTTTGAGCATCCAACTTTGATCTTTTATCAATACACTACCCTGCTTTCTATTAGCTAAACACCTGAACCAAAAGCATAGTGTGCCAGAAACATTTTGTTAGGTACTTCTGATTTTGTCCCTGTTGCATCCATTCAGTGGTAACTTCGAGGTTAGAAGCGTCTTATATTCTCTGGGAGTTGTTACCTAAGTCAACTTATGGCCAATTTATGGTCATTCCAGTTACATAAAATCATGAAAAAAAATAATGGCATTAGAACCTAGGCCTGCCTGCTTCCATACCCATAATCTTTAAAAATATACTTGTCACCCCTTTGCTCCCCTCAATTTTTTATATTTTATTGTGAAAAATTTCAGGCCTACATTGTTTCTTTCTATAGCCCATTATCTTAAACTCCTGCCTGCTGAAACACCAGGCGATAAAAGCAGTTAAGTGTACAGGTACAGTACGAGTGTAAAGCAAGCAGTATCCATATCTTCCATAAGGTGTTAGGAAAGCATCACAGAGATGCGACAGCTAAGCTGGCCCTTGAGGCTGCATTAGGGTGGCAGACCATCAAAGTTAAGGGTACATGCATGAAGGACAGAGACCTCCAGAATACAGCAAGTTCAGAATCGTGCAAGAAGCTAGGCCTCTCTTTGGTCAAAGTGCCAGGAGGGAAGGGCCAAGAGATGAGGCAGTACAGGCAGGCAGGGACCAGGTCACCATGAGTTTAGGTTGTATTGTCCAGTTTAAGAGGGAAAGAGACGTGATCAGATGGCATTGCTGAGGAGCTCTCTGGAGCAGGCAGCAGGATGAAGGGTGGACTAGATAGGAGCATGTTAGGGAAAGGAGACATTGAGGGACAGAAAATGCAGTCACCTCTCTGTTTCAGCATTAAAGAAAAGCATATTCCATCAATTCGAGATGCTGTGTGGTCAGATATGCTCAAATAGAAGGATTAGGAGTATACACAGTGGGAAGTAATTCATAGTCCCTTCAAGATCAACTCAAGTTAACATAATATAGCGAAGTCTCATGGATTCACTCAATTCATTATTTCACTCACAAATATGTATTGGGTGCCTGCTTTTACAGTCTTTTTTTTTTTTTTTAGCTGAGGATACAGAGAGGAACCTAAAATGTTCCTACAAGGCCTACATTGCAGTGAGAAAACAACAAAAAATATGTTGATAAACAAAATATAATTTAAGGTTAGAGATATGTGCTATGAAGAGCAAAGTAAGGTAAAGGGAGTGAGTTTGAAGGCAGGGTAGAAGGTGAGTGACTGTTTTAAACAGGTACCAGGGAAGGGCACCCTGAAGAGGTGACATTTGTGCAGAGAACTGGATGGAGTAAGGGAGTGACCCAAGCAAAACCTGGGAGAACCTTCTAGGCAGTGAGAACAGCACATGAAAAGGCCCTGAGGTGGGAATGAGTGAGGTTGGTGTAAGCGTGGCTGCAGTAAGCAGGGGCTGAGTATGAGGGCATGAAACCAGGGAGAGAGAGAGAGAGAGAGGCTGAGGCCATGGTCAGGAGAGTAAGACAGTGATGACCAGCTGACAACAGCAAGTACTACAGGTAGAAAACCTTATTTCCCACCTGGGGAAGGAGAAGGATATAATGAGAAAGACGAATTTGGGGAGAGTGTAATAAATTTATCAGCATCATCCTCAGAATCCTGATTTACAAAATTACCCCATCCATCTATGGCTGATGCTGATTCTTGTTTACTTCATGTTAACTTTGAAAGTGAAACCGAGCTAAGAATGTCTCCAAGCTGTACTCTTCATGTATTCATTTCTTTCTTCTCTGTAGAAAGGAATAGACAAGGAATTTTACCTACTGTTCACAGTCTTTGATGAGAATCTGAGTAGGTATCTTGATGAAAACATTCAGAAGTTTACCCTGCGTCCCTTCAGTGTTGACAAAGAGGACAAAGAGTTTGTGAAGTCCAATCGGATGCATGGTATGAAAAATGACTTTTCCCCTGTAAAGAAAAGGCGTCGTTGCATTTGGAGTGAAAACGTTTTAACTATCTTAGTTTTTGGTGTCTTGGGTATTGTTCTTGGATGAGTCAATTAGTTCACGGCTTCAGCCTCACAAGGTATAGTGAACCCTCACTATCTCCCAGAGAGGTTGTGACCTTAAGTAACACTTCTAAAACACTTTGTCAGCCTTAGATGGAGCAACACAAAATTAGAACTTGCAAAGGTCACAGTGCATCTTAATTGTATAAAATCACTGACAAAATGCCCTCCCTTGGGTTCGTGATAACAGCATTAAGTCTGATAACCCCAGTGATAACTGGAGGTAATCACTATACTGCAAAGGAGCTCTTACCATGTTGTATGTGTGTCTGTCTAAAGCAGCCGTGGGCAAACTACGGCCTGGTTCGTGATAACAGCATTAAGTCTGATAACCCCAGTGATAACTGGAGGTAATCACTATACAGCAAAGGAGCTCTTACCACGTTGTATGTGTGTCTGTCTAAAGGGTTAATTTGTAAAATTCTAGCCATTCCTATTCCAGATCTTCATGTAGGAGGAATTATTTAATTCACCTTCCCTGCAAGATTCCAAACTCAAATGCCTGCTAGAGTGTGCAGCCAAAAAAAAAAAAGTGCCTAAAACAAACATGGTAAGACAGATAAAGGTGCTAAACTGCTTGTCTTAGGACCCAGAATAACATCTATTTATTGCCTTTAAAACATTATGAGAAAATAACAAAGCAGCCCTTAATCTCCCTCCCCCACAAGGAAGTCCAAGGTTCCAAGTGACTCACCGCAACCAGCTCACAGACTCCTAAGGTCCCGGATGCTCCATTCCAACAGAGTTCCCTCTTGGGCCAATAGAAAGCATGGAGTAACGCATTTTCATTATCATCTTCTACAAAAAGCTTTGTTATAACTCAATACAAAGTTTGTTTGCAATCTGCCTAGTAGCCAATAAAAAAACTAAAACTAGAAATGAGGAAACATAGCAATTCCTTAGTGGAGAAGGTAAGTTGCAAATGAAATTTATCATAAGAGAGGCCTGTATATAGAAAACATTCAACAACCTCATGGGCCATGTCAAATCCAGCCCCATCTTGGTTTGGCAATGTGAACATGTTTGCGTATTTTGGACATGCATACTGTGTCATTTTAAAAGCAAAGTCAAGGAAAATCATGTATTTTAATTTAAATTTTACATTAATTATGAATTAAATTACCTCTCCAGTCTTGCTTGTATGGAGTGGGAGAAAGAAAGGTGGAACAATACCAAAGAGAAGGTACCTCACATGGTATACAATGCTTTGCGTTGCACCTATTCTATAGTCTATATTCAAAGATGTTTGCTGAATGAATGAACAAATGAATGAATGAATGTTTCAGAAAGAGAGGCATTAAAGTAGAGTTCCCGGGCAAGAGAACATTCTTTACCAGCCAGCCAAGGACTAAGTTATTACAATGATATCTCTTTGATATTCAGTGGACAAGATTTAGATAATTTATTTTCAGAGCATGATCAAAGATTCTTTTTTCAGAAAATGAGATGTTCCCTCTCAGAAGCCCCAGGGCTTCTTGGAATTTCCACTAATAATCTTAGATATCTGAGGAAAATTACCAACCACCACTGGTTCTGAGACACAGAAATAAGAAGTAATTTTGTTTGAGAATGGGATTATAACAGAAGATCGTGCAGGGTATAGCAGTTGTTTCTTCCTACGATGGGCATTAGTAAGGAGTGGGGCCAGGGATGGAATTTTTATTTCTCTAATGGACATCAAGCATTGCGCACACACACACAGAGTGAGAATGTGCTTTGTAAATTCTCTATACACTGCTCCAGGTAGCCACTATCAATACATTGGGGTTGATGTAAAAGATAAAAAACAGTTTGCATTTTTGAAGATACAGGTGGTATTCATATCTAAGTAAGAAGTACTCTAAGTTCTTTCAATTATTTTACTGAGGTAGGAAATGTTACCATAAGGCAAACTTATTTACCCAAAGACTACCTTCTTATAAACTTAGTGTTCCTCTTCCCCACCCCCCACCCCCCAAAAAATTCCTCTCCATTGACACAACAGCCAATATAATGTCAATTAATTGCAAATTTTCAAATGATGCAGGATCCATGAAGTCAGTAAAGGAAATGTCTAATATCTTCTAGAATCAAATGCAAAGCATTGACAAATAAGGATCTGACAAAATTATATGAATTAATAACTGAGAAAGAGACATTTTACAAGGGAGATGACAGGATAAAAATCTCAAAAGAAAATGATTTTCATATCAAGAGTTTTAGAGAAGCCCTAACTGGTTTGTTAAGGATCTGACAAAATTATATGAATTAATAACTGAGAGACATTTTACAAGGGAGATGACAGGATAAGAATCTCAAAAGAAAATCATTTTCATATCAAGAGTTTTAGAGAAGCCCTCACTGGTTTGTCTCAGTGAATAGAGCGTCAGCGTGTGGACTGAAGTGTCCTGGTTTCGATTCTGGTCAAGGGCATATACTGTGGTTGCGGGCTCGATCCCCAGTAGAGGGTGTGCAGAAGGCAACTGATCAATGTTTCTCTCTCATCAATGTTTCTAACTCTCTATCCCTCTCTCTTCCTCTCTGTAAAAATCAATAAAATATATATATTTTTAAAAGTTTTAGAGAAGACTTTGGGGAAATTGGTAAAGTCCAAAACTAAAATTGAAAATGAAAGATATCATGTTAACCATCAAACAATCTTATCAGAAAAAAGGATACCAGAACACAACCTGATTTATTCTTTACTGATTCTTATAATTCACACATGCCCTTGTGTATATGTTGTTACATATAACATTTTCACAGTTTTCGTATATTTTTATTATTCATTGTTCATTTCAGTTTCCATTTGAAATTGATTCACCACGACTTTTCCCCAGTACTATTATTCTCTGATAATAGGGATCTTTTGTAAAGAGTTTGAACACTTGAACACCCCACCCCATGCATACTGAGAAGCTTTCACTAAGATGATGTGTTTTCAGTATTTCTACAAAATTATAGTGGGCTCTGACTACGTCTTTCCTTCCATTTAGCTATTAATGGATATATGTATGGCAACCAGCCAGGCCTTAATATGTGCAAAAAGGACAGAGTTTCCTGGCATATGATTGGAATGGGCACTGACACCGACATGCACGGAGTTTATTTTCAAGGCAACACCATCCACCTACGAGGCACTCACCGTGACACCCTGGCCCTGTTTCCCCACATCTCTACGACGGCATTCATGCAGCCGGACTATGCAGGTAAAACTTGGCAGAGCCATCTCAGGTGACCAAGTTTCTATCTTCAGGCATATACTCTTAGGGTCCTTCTTCAGAAGACATTTGTCAAATTTGGGCACTTCAGGGTGTGTAGAAAGAGGTACAGTCTTGATTAGAATCAGAGAATCCCATTTTATTCCAAACATACAGCGTAAAGGACAAAGGAGAAGCATCTCAAATAACACCCACATCCACAAAGCAGAAGTGAAGTCCTCTAAATGACCTCGCTGCACAAATCCTAGAAACACGCTCTTGATTCATATCCATGAACAATTTAGCCCCGAGAAATAATACATTTTTTCTCTTTAACCACAGACATCATTTTAGTTGCTGCTCTGAAGCATCTTACCAGGTATGGACAGCCCAGTGGGTGCTTCTAGGTTATGGACATGGCCTGGTCTGCCTTCTCTAGAGATTGATAATTTCCCTTTTGATGACTTATTTGGGGGCTTCTCTGTTTTCATTCTGTTGGGTACCCTTGGTTTCCCCAGAGGATAAGCTGCACCGGGCCTGAAGTCCATGGAAGGCCCATTGAGGTGCCTGCATGGCATCTCTTCTTTTAGAGACTCCTAAGCCAATTAAATACTCAAGGCACTTTTATAAGAGCTATAGAGCAATACATGGCAGCATATGCTTGCTGTTGCATGAAAAGTAAGGATAGCAAGTGCTATGGGCTTTCAACATGTTTCTACACCTAACATTTCATTAGCTTTGAAAAGAAACCAATATGCTACTCAAGATGAGTACTTGCCAACTCTGCCCCCTTCATGAATGGATGTTTACTTCTTTAATTAACACTGAAATTGCAGTGTAGGTGCCTCTTGGTGCCATTGATTAAGAAATTGAGGTTTGGGCTTCAAAACTTTTGCCCAATAATTGCCCCAGAGTAGGAGCTCCATAATCTGTGCCTTGTAAACATTTAGTATTCAGCCTTTCTATATTAATATAATTATTCAATTATAAGTCACCCAAACCAAGGGATGCCTTGGGCACAATGATTTTTTTAAAAAATATACTCCAAAACCAAAAAGAGGAGGGGAGAGACTTGCCAAATAGTTTTAATCCATTGAAACAGACATTCAAAGCTAGAGCTGGCTGGGATAATTTTAGAGACCTGGCTACTTATTACATGCCATGAGTATTACTCATGTGCTCTATAGGCTTCTAAAGAGCTTCATGACAATGGTTTCCGGTTTATGTTTGGTGCTAAGTATAAATCTGTGACTGCTTAAAAGCTTGGTCATTTCACCAATTCCTGTCCCTCGTCTATCAGCCAAAAAGAGTGCCCCAAACATGGGCACAGTAGACTATAGTCTGCAACTCAAACATTTTCTTTTTCTTTGTTTTAAAATCACTCTGTTGAGGTATGATTGATATGCAAAAAGCTGTACTCATTTAATATCTACAAATGAACTAGTTTGGAGGTAAGTATACACCTCTGATACCATCACCACAAACAAGGCCTTAAACTCCTCTTTGTTCTGGGAGAAAATAATTCCTTGACTATTGAAAAACATAATGAACACAACATATGCAGAAGAAGCTCTTTCCAAGTCTGTCCTCAGAGGTGCTTTCCCTTGTGGTTTCACAGAGTCTCTTCTGCCGCAACCTTTTGCGGCAGGGGTTCAGGATCTGAAGGAGGGGCTGACCCACAAGTGAAAATACTAGACAAGAAATATGAATTTAGAAGGCATGGGGGGCCAGGTGGAGACCTCTCGCTTGGAGAGGCACACCAAAACCTGGACTTATCTGCTTTTTATTCAATTTTAGATACACATCTTGCCCTCAGTAAAGCACTGGCAAACAGGTAGCAGACATACCGTCTCTAAGGTCAATAAAGATCAGTAAAGAACAGTAAGGTTCAGTAAACATTTACTTTGGACTATTAGGTCAGGAAATTGCTTCGAGCCACCACTATCTCAACACCAAACAATCGGTGCTTAGCGTCAGCCTGCTAATGCCCAAGGTCCATGGGCCTTCCTCGTTCCTTGGTGCACTCTTATGACAGTATTGGGAAAGCAGTGGCTTCCCGCACTCTTCCTCATGAAGGTACTCACCAGAGGCTTGGGGGTTCTAAGGTGGCCACTGAACCAACAATTTTTTCTCATCCTGAAGGGATAATTTGGCAGTATTTAGATATGTGTAGCATGATAAAAATTCTCTCTGTGCACCATAGCTAATGAAAGCTACAGTAATTACTCACCTCTAAGAACAGATTCTACTAGAGGAAGAGAAGATTTATTGATCTAATCATTTTACTAACAGTAAATATCTTCCAACAATTTTGTTTTATATGATTTTATGGTGAGTTTAATTAAAATATATCTACCTGATGCTAATACATCTAGAAAATTCAGTTTAAAAATGACATAATCTCAATCATACATGATTGTTGGCCCTAGGTGGGGAAATCTAATTGACTTTTTATTTTTTACTTTTCATCTGGCATAATGTAGACCTATCATTGGTAATGAGAATCTCCTTGGCTCAAAGGCTTAATGAAGTAGTATGTTTGGCTTTAATAATACCTTATATGTGTATGGTGCTTTATAGTTTATGAAATCCTTTAGGGCAAATACATGGCTTCAAAAATGTGTCCTCATTTGAACTTTGTCTAGGATATTAATCTTACAGGTAGTTAGTTCTGTTTCAACTGGGCTGGGCTAAGATAATCATCCCCAGCTGCGATCTTCCAAGGGTGCCTATCTTCTAATAGGTGTGCACAACAGGGAAGACCCAGAGAAATCACTTCTCGGCAGCAACTTTACAAGTTTTATTTTTTCTCTAGAGGCCTGGTGCATGAAAATTCATGCACTGGAGGAGGGGGTCCCTCAGCCCGGCCTGCCCCCTCTCACAGTCTGGAAGCCCTCAGGGGTGGGAGGCGACCCGGCGATCAGGGGAAGGCGACACCCCCATCACACCTCTGCTGCTGCCACTGCCGGCAGTGCAAGTCTGAGCCTCAAGTGGCCCTGGGTGGCTGGGAAGCCACCATCGAGGTTTGCCTGCGCCTTGGGCCCATTCTAAGTGGCTGGGCAGCCGATAGCTGAGGCTTGCCTGCGCCTTGGGCCAGCTGTAGGCGGCTGGGGGGCTGCAGGCGGGTCTGGCTGCACCATGCACCTGCCTCACCCTCCCCCTCCCCCCAGCAGGGCTGAAAGGACTGGGGACTCTGGCGGGCCTGAGGGGACTGGGCAACTCCATCTTGTGGCTATGGGTACTGACATCTTTGTGATGGCGTGACAGTCAATTTGCATATTCCCTCTTTATTAGATAGGCTTGCAAGTGAATTTCAGATGGGATTTTCTTCCCATAATTAAATATATTACAAGTAATGTTTTCCCCCTTGGGGTCTGATTTTGAAATACTACATAAAGGTGACGTTTTTTAAAAAAATGTACCTTCCCGGTTATTTATTTTGGGATAAAATAATAAGTTTGCTAGCAAACCCACACCAAGAACAACAACAAAAACCACAATCGACCACCATACCGAACGCCGAGCCGTTTCTCTTCCAGGTATTTTCAGGGTGTTTTGTTCCACCATGCACCACTTCACCAGAGGCATGAATCAGATATATGAGGTCAGCAGCTGCGGCAACAAGGACCCTTCAGAGCAGCCGTACGGGATGATAAGAACCTTTTACATCGCCGCTGAAGAGGTAGAATGGGATTATGCCCCTAACAAAAACTGGGAGTTCGAAAAGCAGCACTTGGACGCAGGAGGGGAAAGGTACCACGGGCGAAGCCGCCAAGTCTCTTGGGTGGGATTGCACATGCGCCGTAGACAGTTTTCAAATGTGGAAACCTAAGAATGCCCCGGTTTTGCCTGCATAGTTCTGGCTGAGACTTTTACTGTGAGCACAAAAGGGGATGGAAGCTGCCCGTCTCCATCCTGACAAGGGGACCTGAGGTCATTTTGAGGACCCCTGCGGGTGGGCTCAGCACACCTCCACCAGCAGTGGCTGGTCTACATGTGGCTGTGACGAATGAAAGTGACTTTGAGTGAGCGTCTAGAGCAGCGGTTCTCAACCTGTGGGTCGCTACCCCTTTGGGGGTCGAACGACCCTTTCACAGGGGTCGCCTAAGACCATCGGAAAACACATATAAAATTACATATTGTTTTTATGATTAATCACTGTGCTTTAATTATGTTCATTGGTAACAATGAAATTAGGGGTCACCACAACATGAGGAACTGTATTAAAGGGTCGTGGCATTAGGAAGGTTGAGAACCTCTGGTCTAGAGCGAAAGGGTTTAGGGGAGGAGGCAGATCCCAGTGATCGTGGGACTGAGAAGACAGAAGGTGAAGCAGGCGGCAGAGAGGGTGTAGACCCCGGTGAGAGGATGGATTGCGGTAGATTGAGGACCACGAGGAAGGGGGCCGGAGGGTGGGACCCTGACCAAGTGCTGATCTGGGTGGGAGACAACCCAGCAGCAGGCAGAAATGCCATTTGAGATAGGAGGAGCAGGTCTCCTCTACAGGGCCCTGTACCCAGGAAGTCCGCAGGACTGATCTTCGCATGAAAGCGCTGTCAGCCATGCTAAGCAGCAAAGAATCAGCGAGGCTCAAGCCCCTGCTGACTAGTGAGCCCTGGTCCTCCTAAGCCCCCAGGATGCACTGCGGTAGAGTCAGACAAGGTATAGAGGCATCTGTCAGGCTCAGACCTGCAGACTTTCTCCCCCAAAAGTTCATCTCCCCCCACTTCTCAACTTCCCTCTGTTGGGATATCACTGCCCCCCATAGACAGACTCGGAGATTTCCATGCAGAGAGCTAAAATCGCCCAACTGGTCATCAGCAGAGCTGGAATTGAACACAGACCTTTTGAAGGACAAATACCAGGACATGTTGACTTCGGTGCCCCTGTCCTCTTGGTTCTTTATTATCATCCTTCCTTCTCCCCTCCCTTCCACACTCCTCATACTTATCCTTTATGGCTATGCCACACACAAACTCCTCTACACACAGCTGTTCCTGACCCAATAGGTTTGTTTCTCTTCTGCCTTGTTGACCTCTGTTTTGAGGGTTCAGACTCCTGGAAAAGAGAGTATAACAGTGCCACCTTATGGATAACTGAAGAAACAAAATGAATCCACATTTTAAAAAGATTTGCCTCGGGGACAAGACGACTTAAAATTCATTCAATTATTCACCAACCCATTTGTTAAACCAGACACCCCTCTCCTGCAAAACCAGTGCTGCCAATACAAGATAAGAACTGATGTCAGTGCAATGGAATAGGAATGAATACTAATTTGGCCTTTTCTAAAATGATTATTCCTTTACAAGGCTGCCATAACTAAAGAAATAATTTTGTTGCATGTACAATTTTAGCTCATGAGTGAGTAAGATACATAGCCTTCCTTATTTTCTAGAAACTCAGTGTAATTTCAGTATTAAGTCCCCCACCCTCACCCCTCATCCCTCTGGGCTGGCAGGAAGTTCTAGCTTCAGTCCTCTGGGATTGTCTCCCCAGTTATACAGAAGGATAGCAAGTGCTGAGTGTACTTACACTCTGCCCCTGCCACTCTGGATTACTGTCCGTGAACAAATAAATAGATAAAAGCAAAGTAAAATGAGAGCATGTTCACATGCTCAAAGTATAACCAATTTGTAGATAAAATAACAGTACAGAAATGAAACAAGTTCCCCTAGTGGGACATCTGTGGTACCCTGTCTATAGGAGCCCAGGAACAAAGGCCCCTTCTATACCCCAGTTGCTATTCCTCTGTCCTTTGACCCAAGGCCATCGCATGGGACACATCTGTTTTTTCAAACCACCACTGGGTACAGGAAGTCTTTCCCTGAGGCTTGCTAAGATCATACTGGGGGAGCCTTGGGTCCCAAAAGGCAAAAATGGGGCCATCAGCACAATGCCAGGGTTTGTGCAGTGGGAGAGAATTTGAAAACAAAAGTTCAATTGCTATAGAGAAATAAAGTTGAATTCCTAGTATTCCTGACTGACATGCAGATAATGTAACTAACCTGGGATTCAAGATAATAACCTCCATCTATTGAGCACCCACCGCGATCCAGGCATTTTGCTAGGGCTTTTACAAACTACCTGGTATGACCCTCACAACACACTTGATTAGCTTTGACTCAGCACCGCACAGGACATCCTAAAGAGATAATGATAGAGCAAGTGCTTACATGGTGCTTAATAAGTGTCAGGCTCAGTGCATTACAGATCTTATCTCATATAATCCTCACACCAATCCTGGGAGCTAGACACATTATTATCACCCCATTTGCAAGAAAAGGAAAGCTGGAAACAGCAGAGCGTGGCTCCAGAGTCTGTGCTTGCCACTACCACAAGTGTTACTGTGACACCTGGAAAATAAAAGCAGAAGAAAAGTTCCTTCCCTTGGAAAGCATACAGTGTAGAGTAGAAGGTATATGTGCATTTGTTAAATACCTACTGTGTGCTAGGCATTGTGCAAAGTGCTGGTGAAACAGGGCAGACAAGGTCCTTCTCACACAGACTTGATGGTCCATGGGGAAGACGTTAGGACAAGCACATTGAGTGAGGCAATCACTATGAGAGGGAAGTGCAAAGTGCAGCCAGAACTCATAACAGAAGCACACAGCCCCCTCTGGGGGAAAGACAGAAATAGTTTAAGTGGTTGGGGAAAGCTTCTGGGAGGAAGAAATCTTTGACCAGGAACATGAGGAGTAAACAAATTGAAGAGGTAGGAGCTGCATTCTTGGCACAGGGAACAGCACATGGGAGGCCTGGAGGTGGAGAGGGCATGTGGTGTTCAAGAGAGTGAATGTTTAGCCCTGGTGGGTGTGGCTAAGTTGGTTGAGCATGGTCCCATGCACCAAGAGGTAGCCGGTTCGATTCCCAGTTAGGTTAGGTTTGAGCTTGAGCCCCATAGGGGGCATGCATGAGGCAGCCAATCAATGTTTCTCACATCAATGTTTCTCTCCCTCTCCCTCTCCCTTCCTCTCACTCTCAATAAAAACTTTTCTTTTTTTTTTTTTTAAGAGTGAGTGTTTAGAATGACCTGAACATAGAGTATGTGGAGGCCAGTGATGGGAAATAAGGCTTGGGAGGCTGTCAGAGGCAGATAGTGAAGTGGTGGCATGAGAGCCAATTCAAAGAGTTTGGCAGTGGGAAGCCATAATAAGGCTTTCCACAAGGACCGACTTGGTTGAATTTATTGTTTAGAATCACTGTCTGCAGTGTAGCCCATAGAGGAATGGGAGGAGTGTAGTCGGCAGGAGGATGATTAGGAACAATTTCAGTTAATGCAGGTGGCTTAGATTGAAGTGTGGGCAGTTTCATGTATCTCCATAGTTTAGAGATAAAATTGATAGATTTTTAAAAATCTTCTGTGATGGTCTATGTTGGTGATAGATTAAGTATACAGTCAGTCTTCATTATTGGTGGGTTCCACATTTGTGACTTCGCCTGTTCACTAAAATTTATTTGTGACCCCCAAATACATTCTTGTGGTGCTTTTGTGAACATTTGCAGATATGCATAAGGCAGCAATAATTTTGTGTCACCTGATATTCATGTCAAGCAAGGCCTCTCTCTGCCTTCTTGTCTCCAATCTCATGCTGTAAACCAATGTTCTATTTGTCGTTTATTTAGCAACACTTTTTTTTTCAGTTTTATGCTTTTTATTGGTGATTTAGCTGTTTAAAATTTCCCCCAACAGTATCTGAATGCCCAAGAGGCCTTACAGAGGAAATATTTGTGTTAGACAAGCTTCATTCAGGCCCACGTTACAGGACTGTTAGCTGTGAATTCAGTGTTGATGAATCAGAAGTATATATTAACTAAGATGTGTTTAAACAGAAACACATGTAAAGCAAGGTTCTATATTGATCTGTTAATGGAAATATTGTGGCCAAAGGTGAAGTGGAACCCAGCTCTGTATTTCCCCGGGGAACTTAGTTCAGTATTTGTTAACTCAGTGTTTGTGGTGACTTTCTAGAACGTAACTACTATGATTAACGAGAATCAACTGTATCTATATTTGTACATTGGCATATGCCCAAACCACAGGCTTTCTTGAGATCTTTCAAAGTGGGAAAGCATACCAAGGAACAGAATGATAACATGAAATCTGGAGCAATGTGGGCGCGTGGGTGTTTGCATGCCTGGGCATGTGTGTGAGGTAGTTACTACCCAGAAGGAAATTCCAACCCCAAGGGGCCTTTGGGAGTCTCTAACTGAGACCAGCCCTTACTCAGCACCCAGCCGGGCTGTAGAGCAATGGCTCCCAAGAGAAAGCCATGAGCCAGTGCTGGGCTGCTTGCAGCAGTACCCGCTGAGTGCTTTCAAATGCAGACTCCTTGCCCCACTCCCCAACAGCTTGGCGCAAAGGCCAGCTCCCCAGGGAGATCCTAATCGCAGTGAGGTTGGGGAAGCACTGCCCCAGAGTACCCCGCATCACTCAGAAGCACTCAGGTTTTTCTACCGTCTAACAACTTTAATTTCTGCTGCTTCTGGTTTGCAGACATGGAGATATATTTATGAACCACACTGAAAACTGGATTGGCTCTCAGTACAAGAAGGTGGTTTACAGGGAATACACCAATGGAGAATTTGTCGAGATCAAAGCCCGGCCACCTCGAGAGGAGCACTTAGAACTGCTGGGTATGGGCGCACGCGAACACACACACACACACACACACACACACACACACACACACGTCCCTTAGATTTACACCTGAGAATGGAGGGAAGGAAGAGAGTAGCCTGCCTGCATTCAGCCAAGTGCAACCTCTTCCTGCCCTCCCACTTTCAGGGAGCATGCTGTGTGCTCAGCCCATCCAACGCATAGTCAGATGGACAGAGCGCTGGCATAACTTCTTCAAGGTCCTCGATTACCCGTGCACAAGGCCATAACAACACACATAAAAATAATTCTGACGAAAGAGGAAACCCTTGTGTGAGAGGGGTGCTCAGGGTGAAAGGCCTGGTTTCCATTTGGGTCATGGCCTTAGATCCACTCTGCCTGTCTGATGCCTGGGGCTGCCTGACCCTGTGATCAAGTTAAACCTCCCTCCCTTCCTTCCTTTTTCCACCTGAGAATCCCCAAACGTGATCCCATCGTGAAGATGTAATCTCAAGGTGGAGGACTAATCTAGATGACTTTATGAAATCCGTTCCCATTTTTAAATGCACATGGTAACTTATGTGCATAACATGACTTTACGTAGTGCTTTTTAGTATTAAAATAAGGGCCCATGAATGCTAGCTCAATAAATGATCAAATGCCCCACCCAGCCACACCACACCCTCACCACCTATTAATATTGGCACACAAGTTTGTTTGTCGCACTAAATGAAGTCAGCCCCGGTGGCAGCGTTTCTTCTTTTGAAACTTGTGTGTGTCAACTGAGCTCTGAAGAAAAGGTGCTGGTCCTGCCAAGGGAGCTGGGTTGCCCCTCAGAGAGCCCCAGTTTGGTTCTGCTCAGTAAAATGACACAAACAAAGACTCCCTCAGAGGCAAGTCCTTGCAGCACTTCAGCCAGAGGAACAGGAGGCCCATCTACTCCTTTTCTGCAGCTCAGAGAGAGGCCTGCCTCCTGAAGTTACAAAAGGCACAAGGCAGGCACAGTACCGCTCATTACTGCTCCCTGTGACCTACCAGGCCACACATCCAAAAGCATTGACAGTGCAGCAAGCCTGTGCAATTTAAGTGGTAATGAATATACAAATAGTGATTTTAATTTAGGCATACACATGCCCTACTTGTAATTATGCCAAACTTACTATTTAAAAAAAACATGCCTAGAAATTTCTTTTCTAGCTTTATCATTTTTTCAGACACTTCCTAATTCACACTATTTCCTTCCAAAGATAATAATAGTCCAACAAATGTTAGATTTTTTTTTTTTAGGTCTTTCTCAGAAAATCAATTAAAACCATGGTCTGAATCAGTAATGAATGGATAGGTGGTCAGACCTTCCTTTCATGAGCATTTCTCCCCATGAATGTAGAATTCAATAAATGCCCAAGAATTTGAATAAATAGGGAACTGGTCTCAGGTGCTTCCAAAATGGGAGTCTGTTTCCATCCCCATCAAAGCGGTGCCTCAAGAATGCCACTGTGTGTGCCATGCTCTGTCAGTGTGGTTGGGGGCTGGGCAAACTGCCTGGGCCACATTCTGGGCACTAAGAGGTAAAAAGCACCTCACATGGGCGATGGCATCCCATAGTCATGCTGGCACAGGCTTCCCTGTTTTCCATTGGCACACAGGCTGGTTGCTTCTAACAGAAATTTGCATAAATGAGGACTGAAGTGAGCGCAACTCAGCTATCCAAATATTGAGAAACAGCGTTGGACATGCATTAGTGAAATCACTGTATTGATCATAAATCAATATATAAATGTTTACACTTTGTCCTTATCTTCCAAATCCCTTTTATACACATTACTTCACTGTATCATTATTTATAATTATTATTATTACTAGAGGCCCGGTGCACGAATTCGTGCACGGGTGGGGTCTGGCCGGCCCTGGGCAGTTGGCTGGCTGGCCTTGCCCCCGGTAGGGGTGTCGGGGGCCAATCAGGGGTGGGGCCGGCCAGAGGGAGGGGCCCCAGACATTTGGCAGGCCAGCCCCACCCCCTGGTCGAGCTCAGGTTGAACTCCTGGTTGGGTGAACAATTTGCATGTTACCCTTTTATTATATAGGATTACATCTATTTACCAGATAGTGAGCAATTTCAGACTTAACAAAAGTTACACACAGGGAGATTACAACTGAAAGTCTTCATTCTGTGGATATGGCTTTTCCTGGAGATTATGTCTAAGCAGTAGTAGAAATTTAAGCATTTATTATTGTGTTTCAATGCACTGAAATAAGCACTTTAAATACATTAACTTATTTAATCCTATAATAAAAGCATCATTAAACCCATTTTATAGAAAAAGAAGTTGAGATTCAGGCAGGCCTTGACTATAAGGCCTCTCTAATAAGTGAAGGAGGCAGGATTTGGGCCCAAATTGGTCCAATTGCCAAAACTACATGCTATTTAATACTATATATATGGCCCTCTAAAGGAAATGAAGGCCACTAATGAAGAAGCTAATATTTATTTTATTTTGCCAAATACTACCTATATTTAAATTACTTCAGTGTTGAAAGAGCAACGATAATGCACACAGACCTGTGTTTTGCCTTTAGGCCCAATGATACATGCCGAGGTGGGTGACTCTATCCTGGTCATATTTAAGAACAAAGCCGATCGGCCCTACTCCATCTCAGCCCATGGTGTGGAGAACACAGAGAGTGGGAAGCGACTCCAAGTGTCCATGACAAAGCCAGGTAAGTTACCCCAGAGGTCTGCTCCATCCTGATGAGGACACCAGACTCAACTCTTTTCTGATCATTTCTGATCTCATCTTAATGTTAATGCATTCCAGCCATCACCTAGTCACTCCCAATATGAGATCATCATTCATCCAATGACCAAATGTTTATGGAGGTCCTAAGGACCTAAAAATGTAGTAAGACATGATAATAGCTAACACATATTGAATGTTAACCTTGTGCCATGCTTTATATATTAAAAAACACACACACTAATTTGCCCTTATAATAACCCCGTGAGGTAGACACTAACAATAGTTCATTAAATCTGGTACCATTGATTAGAATGTCCATCATTATTTATTCTGTTTCTTAAAAAGAAAAAGACATGCTGCCAATTAAACTTTAACATGCCACTGATTTTGAAAACACATCCTGACTTCAGTTATATTAAATTGTGAAAAATGTTTATCCTATAATTGATGAAATATGGTATTATGTCCATTTAACAAATGACAAAAGCACAAAGGAGTAAAGAACTTGATTAGGTCATACATTAGTAATGAGGGGAACCCCAGTTTGTTTGATATTAGAACCTGACCTCTTAACCACATAGCTCTCTAAAGATGCTTCAAATGAGTTTGGGAGAAAAAAAGCAAATAAGATCAATCATTTCAGTAGTAGTGTGGGTTATACATGATGAAATTCTAAGTATTGAAGAATTTAAGAATATGGCTGGGTGTGTTTATAAAAGTTCCAGAGAAGGAAAATTCATGAAGGCTGATTGATTACTTAGAAAAAATTAAGAAAAGGAGTAATTAGGTAAAGTTTTATATAGGAGGTAGAATTCCAGTTGGGTTTTAAAAGATAAACCAAACCCGGCTGGCATTGCTCAATGGTTGAGCATCAACCTATGAATCAGGAGGTCATGGTTTGGTTCCCCGTCAGGCTACATACCTGCATTGTTGGCTCAACCCCAGTAGAGAGCATGCAGGAGGCAGTTGATCAATGATTCAATGATTCTCATCATGTATATTTCTCTCTCTCCCTCTCCCTTCCTCTCTAAAATAAAAAGATAGATAGATAGATAGATAGATAGATAGATAGATAGATAGATCCCCAAAGGGAGAGAAAAATCTCATAATTTAAACAGCTTCCCATAACATTTACACAGTTGAAGTGTGGTTGTAATAAATGTGAAGAGCTACTGTGACCTTCAGTTATGAAATTGACAGCAACCATCAGTATAATTGTATAATTACAGGGGTGTTATATTTCTTTTTACCTCTTCTGTGTAGTAATATTATAATACTTAATACTATAGTAATTATAATAAAATAAAAGTCATATGAACTTTAAAAAAAAGAAAAAACACATAAAAAGGAGAAAACAAAACAATCTCATGCATCGCTAGAAACATCAGCAAGGTACCTATACAAGTATGCAGCTGGGGGAAGGAAAATCATCATTGGCTGATATTCTTCTGCCACACCCCACTCCACCCCATCCCCAGTAACAGAAGCCTGTATTTTGCTGCTTCAAAAAGCTTCTCATGAACATCCTAAATGTCTATCTATAGGAAAACAGTTAAGTAAATTTTGGAATATCCTTACGATGGACTATTATGCAGCCATTAAATGAAATTTAAGACAGTTTGAATGACATGGGAAATACTGGTGGTATCATATTAAGCAAAATACAAGCATAATGGGAAGGCCCGAGGGAAATAAGCCAAAATGTTAATAAAGGTTATATCTTCGTGATGGTACTTGAGTAGCAGAGTGATGCTTTTTTCTACTTCTTCACATTTTATTGTACTTTTTAGATTTTCTATAATGAATGTGTCTTACTTAGGTGAAGAGGGACATGTTTTAAAATGGGTCAAAAAGCCATTTAGTTATTCATTTTTGATGGTTGAAAGCATCTCAGGGGGAGAGGGGGAGAAAGAAAGGTGCCAATCAGGCATTGATGGGACTCTGGTAGGGCTGTGGACAAGTTGGGGTGACCTTTTGCAGGCTGTTGTGCCCTAATGGTGAGGACGTGCAAGGAACACAGCTCCTCTATGCTGGCTGGCCTTCAAAGAGTCCTCAATGTGAGATTATGGGAGTGGGGAGAAGAATGATTAGAAGTGACAAAGGCATTTTTCTTACTGGAAATCAGAGAGAGAGAACCCCCACAAGGGTCTGACAGGCGGAAAGGTATGGGAGAGCCCAGAGATGAGGGTAGGAGCAAGAAACTAACTTTGGGCAGGAAGTCCAGGCAAGCTGGAGAAGAGTAATCTGGGCATGCCTGAGATAAGGAGACTAGCATCATAAGAAAACTAAGCAGCCCCTATCTTCTCTTTCAAAATTAAATGACTCAGAAAACATTTACGGAGCAGCTTCTTTTTATTTAAGGCTGTGCTCTCTGCTGGATTGTTCCAACTTTAATCATACCACACCAGTAGCCACTTGCATTTAGGAAGCTAAATATCAGCGTTTTATCTTGTGATTAACAAGGCATGGAGGCTATAATAAACTTAATGGAAATTAGACCTAAAGTCATATTGCTAACCCACTGGTGTATGAGCACTTATGGAGCAAAGTTACATGTAAGCAGTACTTTTGTTTTGTGGCTCACATTCAGCTATAGGTTATTTGCCCTGATGTGGTGGGGATGGGACACAGTTCAAAAGGAGATAGTGATTTAAATGTGGCTTTTATTTGAGACTTTTACAATGGGATTATCTTGCTAATTCATGAGTATATTTATGACTCCTCTGCAAGGCTCTGGATTGGCCACGGGGGGTTGCACAGGTATGGTGCCTAGCAACAGGCAGTGCACACATTTGTTATTAGTATAGATAGAAATTAACATGTATTTACTGCCTTCAATGTGAGGCACTATCCTAGGTATTTTACTTCATTTCATCCTCACAACAGTCTGAAGACTGGATAACTACCCCACTTAATAAGTCAGGTGTGCCGGGCCAGCACAGCCAAGGGTTTGGTGAGCCTGAGGCGGGTGGCGAAGGATGTAGAAAAGGCAGACAAAGAGAATAAGCTGGGTCTAGGTCAGCCGTGGGCAAACTACGGCCCGCGGTCCGGATCCGGCCCGTTTGAAATGAATAAAACTAAAAAAAAAAAAAAAAAGACCGTACCCTTTTATGTAATGATGTTTACTTTGAATTTATATTAGTTCACACAAACACTCCATCCATGCTTTTGTTCCGGCCCTCCGGTCCAGTTTAAGAACCCATTGTGGCCCTCGAGTCAAAAAGTTTGCCCACCCCTGGTAGGTGGATCTCCTGTGCCTGGCTAAGGACACAGAGAGAGAGATCCAGAGGGCAAGCTGAGCCTTTATTTTATAGCCAGAGGTAAACAAGGTAATGGTCACCATAGTTACACTATTCTTGTGAGTTTCACTTGTTTTGGCAGCACTTGCTGCACCTCCCACAGCCCATTAGCTACCCAGATATGATCTAGGGAGGTCATAAGGTCAAGCTTAATTATGCTAAGAGGGCTGTGCCCTCTAAGCTGGGACTTGTTTGTGGCTTTGCCAATAGGTCAGTCAGAGGCTTAACCCTATAGTGCTCCCTACAGTAAGGAAACTAAAGTTCAGGGAGGTTAAGTAGTGTGTCAAAGGCTGGGTAAGTAGGAAGTCATGGGGTTGAGATTTGGAACTAGATCTCTCTGGTTCTAACTAGATCTCACCTGTTTGCACATTAAAATCACCTGAGAAGCTTAAAAAAATACCCTAGTCCCAGACCCCCCACATTCTAATTTCATTGGTTTAGGATGAGGCCTGAGCAGTAAGGGTTCACAAAGCTTCCTGGTTATTGCATAGGAAGCCAAGGCTGAAATCCATGGTAATTCAAGTGAGCTTGAGCGTAGCTCTTGGGAGAGAGACATGACATTTGAGGGGGAAAGCAGTGAAGTATAAAATAAGTCTTCATTTCCTAAATGAACATTAACTGATAATAGAGCAAACTAGAGGGGAAGCTCTAGTCTGAAATGAAATATCGGCCACTTTGAAACTGCAGAAAATCAAGATGTGAGTTTAATGGGAACATTTCTAATGAATGGGTACTTCTCCCTAGCAAGGAACATCAACCAAAATATACATAGTCGGGACACTCGTAAGTCAAGGCCCCACTGTATAAAGATCTGTTTGTATTATTTCTCGAGCTAAATCGCCTGGAATAAGAGGTAACACTAGTAAATCCTTTCCATTTCTTCTCATTCGTTTCAGGAGAAGTAAAAACTTACATATGGAATGTCCCTAAAAGGTCAGGTCCAGGGCCATCTGACCCAAATTGTATTCCATGGGTTTACTATTCAACAGTAAACTTTGTGAAGGTAAGATGGAGAGAGCAACCAAAATGCTCACAGTAGTATGGCTTTAAGTTGACTATTAAGTTATCACAATTCTGGTGGGTATATGTGAAGGGTATTATGGTTTAGAGCAGGGGTCTCAAACTATGGCTATTTGTTTACATTCTCTATGATTGAATTGAGTAGTTGTGAAAGAAACAGTATGGCCAACAAAGTAAAAAATATTTATTACCTGGTGCTTTGCAGAATATAAGTTAGTTGACTCTTAATCTGAAGTATGGGGGAAAAGATCAAATCAAATACCAATGTTTCAGTTATCACATTTAGATTTTACAAGGTAGTTTATGTAAATAGGTAGCCATAAAAATATTTTAAATATAATTTATACCATGGTTTTCAATGTGTGGAATCTACCATTTTTAAAGGCATCACCACTGCTATCGGGGTTCAGGAAAAGAAAACACATGCCAAACATAATAACTGAAATGACAAACTATTTGAATAATAAATAGGCTAACTTTATATAGAAATGAAAGGCAAGATTCAATATTGAGTCAGAGATGTATATGGTAAAACAACTAGTCTTTAATAATATGTCATAAATGAATGTCCAAACTAAAATCACATCTCTATATATAAAAGGCTAATATGCAAAGTGTCCCCTTGGGAGTTCGACCGGGAGACCGGGAGTTCGCTCGCTTGCTATGACACGTGCTGACCACCAGGGGGCAGCACGGAATAAAGGGAGGCCCCTGCCAGCAGCCGGAAGGCCCCGATCTGCCAGGCCTAGGGACCCTACACATGTAGGAGTTTCGTGCACTGGGCCTCTAGTATGATATAAAATTTAAGAAGTGCCCATTGTTTAAAAAGTAAAAGATTCTCTTAACCTTCCTCTTAAACATTAGATGGTTGCATTATTGTCCTTGAGTTGTACTGGACAGTGCAGGAGTTACAGGGTGACATTCAAGACAATTCAAAAATTAAACTTATATTTTGGAATTATGGGAAATGTACACTTATTCATTTATTTCTTTGTACATCCCCCAAAATATTTATTGAGCACTTGTTCTATGAGCTATGCAAACATTCTTGTCTTGAAGGACTTGAAGTCTTTGAGGAAAATAATACATATGCACTCCCATAATTATAACAAAATTCTGAATCTGGTGCGTTCTATAAGAGTGTAGGGGAAAGAGAGTCTAGGAAGAGAGAGCATTGTGAGGAAAGCTGAAAACAGGAAAGTCAATGTGTTTGGGAAATGCTGAGAGTCCCATTTGGCCAAATGGGTAATAGGAAAAGAAAGCAGTGGAGGAGCTTAAGCTAGAGAAATCCATTGGGGGAGCTCCTGAGGGGTTCAAGGACCAGTCGAGGATTAACATTCTATTCAGTAGGTCATGGAGATTCACTGAGGACTTCTAGATATGGGAATGATGAGATTAATCTGATGGCAGTCCGCAGGGTGGGCTGGAGGTGAGTGAGCCAGAGACCAGAGAGGGGCCGATTTCTAATCCAGGGTGAGGTATTAAGGTCCTACACTGGGAGGATGGCAGATGGAATGGAAAGGAAGTCGCAGAATGGAGAGGCATGGTGAGGGAAAAGAAATGTAAGGTTTGACGGTAAATGAAACGGGATCATCTAAGGAAGAAAGAGGAATTAAACACTGAAATAAAGTTATCTGATCTAAATGACAGGTAATATCATAGCACTGTTAACAGAAATAGAGAAATAACTTCCTTGTAAGAAAATGACTTTGTTACAAGCACTTAATCGGTATTATTAAATTATTTGAAGGCTCTTCTACTCAGTTTTATTTTCTTTCAGGATACATATAGTGGTTTGGTGGGCCCTCTGATTATATGCAGAGAAGGAGTGTTGAATGAAAAAGGAAGAAGAAGTGATGTTGATTATGAATTTGCTCTCTTGTTTTTGATATTTGATGAGAATGAATCTTGGTATCTGGACGACAATATTAAGAAGTATCTCAATAAAGATCCACGAGATTTTAAGCGCACTGATGATTTTGAGGAGAGCAACAGAATGCATGGTATATCAGAGATTAAAAAAGAAGACTTTTGGTGAGATAAGCTCATAGAAATTCCTGTAACTGTAGGAGGTCCCCAGCCTCCTTCTCTGAGCTCTTCCCCACCCCCAGGTGCTCCTGGACTGAAGCAAGTCCTCTAAAGCTTTCCTTCACAGGGAACCAGTCAAGTCATTGGATGGCTGCCAGCAAGGTCCAGCCAGGCTCTGGACCAACTGTTTTAGGGAGCTCTACCTCTGAATGCTGGGATCCCTAAATTTTAAGACTATGAAATAATTATTTAAAAGTGAATCAGCACTTATTCGTATATTTCTATAAGAATACATCATAACTTTTAATTGATCAAATTTAAGGGCGTGGTTGAACTGTTTCTGGGACATAAAATACCATCACCAAATTTCTGTTTTAACGTGTCTATATTATTTAATTCTACGTAATTTAGGGTAGTTTTATTTTGAAGCAGGAGTGATGGGTTTCATTGACACATCTGTACTCTCTCACCAAGATCTACTTTTGACCAAAGGTATACCAAAAGAGACCACAAAGGTCACAAAGCTGGTTAATTGCTAACATAGATCAGAATTAGCCTGATCTCTGACTCAGCTACCCTTTGCCCTACCCATTTTGCTTCCTTCTCCCAAAAGTTTCTTGGTATGCTCTCTATTTTTAATGGATTAATTCATCGGATGCACAGAATAAAAACATAGCAGAAAGTGAGGGAGAGTCCCACATCACGTCAACCCACCTTGAGCTTGCTTTGGTCCCTATGAGTTCATGGGCTCTGCTGGTGTGAAGCTGTTTAGAGAGTCAGCCAGGCTTAGAAACTTGTCCCAAGGTAGTTCTCAGAAAGTACATATCAAGGAAATAGCTTCTAATTGGTTCAATTATGATTTATATGAACTTGATTCTCTGTGCTTTAGTCCACTCAACTGTAGAATGATATAAATCTGGCTACCTGGCAAATGGGGCTGTAATCTACTCCATAAAGAGACTATACTGAATACACAAACCAACAGCACACCCTGCTACCCAAGATGTAGCTTTCAAAAACAAACTGCTATTCTTTCCTAGCAATCTTTGTATAAGGATTTCTTAGGAATGTGAATTTTGGGTCTAGAACGGTGGGGACATTGGCAAGTGCAAATGAGATTGTTCCATTTGATCAGGCAGATGAGATCATTGGTGACTTAAAGATTGGCTTGAACCAGATTAAGGAATGAGGGTCTCCTCACTAACCAGAAGCTATTTTCTCTCCACCATCGTAGCTATTAATGGAAAGATTTTTGGGAATCTCCATGGCCTCATCATGAATGAAGATACAATGACAAACTGGTATTTGTTAGGAATGGGAAGTGAAGTGGATATACATACCATCCATTATCATGCTGAGAGCTTTCTTTTCAAAGTAAGTATAAGGAAAATGCTTTGGGGAGGAGACATTTTGAACTAATAAATTCAATGCATTTCCACTATAAAGTAAGAGGTTTATTTGGCAATAAAGCTGGGGGGGGGGTGTCAATATTAGAGAACAGAACAGAATAATGTGGTTATAGCCTGCCCCTGGTAGACATTTCTTAATATGTACGTATATTTTATTGTGCTTAAAAAGTCCACAAAAACAAACAAAAAAACCTCTCCAAGCTTCAGATGAGAGTTTTTGCATCTATGTTCATGAAGAATATTGGTAGTAGCTTTATTTTCATGTAAACTATTTGTCTTGGTTTTGGTATCAGGGTAATGCTGGCCTCATAAAATGAGTTTAAAGTGTTCCCTCCTCTTCTATTTTCTGGAAGCTATGTTTAGAATTGGTATCATTTCTTCTCTAAAATTTGGTAAAATTTGCCAATGAAGGCCTATGGATGTGGAGTCTATTTGATGGAAGGTCTTAATATAATTTCCGTTTCTTTAATAGGTAATCTGAAAAGTGATATTTATCAGCTTTTACCTTAAGGACTTTATCCATACCATCTAAATTGTAGAATTAATGAACAGTTGTTCACAATATTCCTTTATTATCCTTTTTAATGTCTATAAAACTCAGTAATGTCCCTTCTTTCCTTCCTGATATTTGCAATTTGTGTCTTCCTTCTTCTGCTTTTTTCTCCTTGGTCAGTTTGTCTAGAAGTTTGTATTAGTTATCTATTGCTACATAACAAATGACTCCCAAACTTAGTGACCTAAAACAATAATCGCTCATCTCAACTTCTCGGGGTCAGGAATCTGGGAACAGTTTAGCTAGTTGGTTCTGATTTAGCACCTTTCATGAGACTGCAACCAGACGTCAGCTGGAACTGCAGTCACCTGGTTTGGCTGGGGCTGGAGGATCCACATCCAAGCTCACTCACAGGGCTGTTAACTGCAGGCTTCAGTCCCTCACCAAGTGGGTATGGCATGGGAGCTGGCTTCCCCAAGAATGAGCGATCTAAGAGGAGAGAGCAAGAGAGAGGGTATAAGGCAGAAGCCACTGTCTTTTATAACCTATTCTTGGAAGTAGAATGCCATCACCTCTGCCAAAGGCTATTGGTTTCATAGATCAACTCTCATGCAATGTAGGAGGGGACTACAAAAGTTATGACTACCAGGAGGTGGGGATTATTGGAGGCCATTGTGGAGGCTGGCCACCACAAGTTTATCAATTTTATTGATCTGTTCAGAGAACCAGCTTTTGGTTCCTTTATCTCTATTATATTTCTATTCTTGATTTTATTGATTTCTGCTCTTACCTTTATCATTTCCTTCTTTCTGCAGATAGATAAATCTTACCGAGAAGATGTGTATGACCTCTTTCCTGGGACATTCCAAACCATCGAACTGTTTGCAGATCACCCAGGGACATGGCTGATACACTGTCATGTATCCGATCACATCCATGCTGGCATGGAAACAACCTACACAGTCCTTCGGAACATAGGTATACTGTTGTCTGTCAGTGATGCCAGGGGATAGGCTTCCTGTAGACCCTGAAAACAGGAGGCATAAGACCCCCAAGGAGCTCAGAGTTAAGCAAGAGAGACAGACATGTAAATAATAACCATAATAGAATCTGCAACATGCCAAAACAGAGTGCAGAGTACAGGGCTCAGTGACAGCAGTAGGAAGCAAGGGTCAACAATGGGGATATGAGCCAAGGTTCCACAGAGTCCATCGTGTTTCCGACGGGTCTGAATGGATGGGTAGAAGCTTGAAAGGTGACTGGGGTTGGAACAACATGTATAGTGGAAGGAAGAGTAACACTGAGAATCCAAGAAAAACTTACAGATAACTGATGGGGAAAAGTTCTGTTTGGTGAAAGGAAATAACTCTTGAAACAACTCATGTCATGAAAAGAACCTACTTCTATTGTTTATAAAACAATCAACTTGCCTTCTTTGTCCAGACAACAGGATTCCTTACTCCACCAAGTCTCCTTCTGGAGGAGCCTCCCATCCAGCCACCACGGCGCCCTCCCACGGTAAGGACCCCTCCCTGACCCCTGCGTGGGAATGGTCAGTCTCACGCTCCAGGGAAAGGCAGAGGCCTGACACCTCACTTTTCTTTTTCACAGAAGAGCCTGTCAAGGAGCAACTCTATTTCTTTGGCAAGAATCTGAGTCCCAGAGGAGCTAAAGCAGCCTTGGTCATCCTGTTCATCATCGGACTCCTCCTCCTGATCGTCACCATGACCCTGTCCCTCAGACTGCACTCTGCACGGAAGCAGGTGGCCTACCAGGCGGTGCAGTCCTGCGCGCTCCCCACCGACGCCCTGTGAGCGCCTGCTCTTGCTCCGCGGGGGAACTGGACAAGGCATGGTTCACCAAGGAAGGTCCACACTGTACCCTGGATGGGCGCTGATCCTCGGGAACACAGTCAAAGCAATTTGCTTTTAGTTATTTGTTTTTAAATGGGCTGTGCATAATCCTCAGGTATAAAATACTGAGAGAGGAGAATGGGCGTGACTGACAGAACAGTCTCGGCCTGTTCTCAGAATACATTTGCTGAAGTGTGGATTCCCTTTGAAAGATGTCTCTCATTTCCAGCTCTCACACTTCTTAGATTAGACAGTGAGTGCTTCCTTAGCTAACCGTCAAAGTTCTCAGATGGACAGCTTCTGGAAAGTTATACTGCCTCCGACATCTAACTGGAACAGCACTGGTTTTTCAACCCTGTTAAACAAGATGCTTCCTTTTGCTGTTTCAGGGAAAAGACCTTTCTCATGGAAATGTATATGTCAGTATCTGCTGATAGAATCTGACCAAGTGAATATTTTAGAGCGTTAGCCAGCTCTCCCGGCCTTTTCCACTTGAATATAAACAGCTGGCACACTATTTGTTACAGAAGGCAAAGTTATACGCATTTTTAAAATATTGGTGCTATTTTTATGCAAACTCATAGGAGATACTTGAATGTGTATGACTCACTTTATGTTATTAGTTTTTACCGTATGTTTCTATGGCAACGTTTGTATTTTCAAGAATCAACTAGAGAACTTGAATCTGTGTTTCAGAAAGTGGAGGGCTGGAATCTGAAACAGGGGGTTAGGTTCTCGCATGGTGAGTCAGGGCTCTCCGAGAGTTTTGAGAGAGCTTCTAAGATGGAAGGAAACTGCAGGAGGCGAGTCTGGGCTTGAGTCTTAAATCTGATTTTTTATTCACTTCGGGGTTCTTTCCAAGTCTCCATCTTCTAGGAAATAAAAACAGTCTCATCATGTCAGGAACACCAGGAAGAACTCAGTAATGCAGCTGACTGGTTGGGAGGAGAAGGGAATCTCATAAAATCTTTGATTCTATGCCTCTTAAAGACATAGCCCCTTGTGAGAGAGGGGAAAAAAAGGAAAGGCTAGAAAAAGAGAGTCCCAGTGGCAATTATTTACACCATTAAATCAGCTTTCAAAGGCTCAAATGAAAAAATAACATCTTGAACAACTAAACTCAATCCACTATGAGGCAATCCATACTCTTTGTATGCAAAAAGGTTAGGTGTAAGATTAATAAAAGCAATATTGTTTATTACAACTGGACTGAGAAATTGCCCTTAGTTCAGGGCAAGCTGCCCTGTGATGCCAATGCCGACGCCAGACTAGTGACAGTAGAACATCTGCCCTAGCCATGGATCACTTGGATGTCCAGATGAATGAGTAGGATTTAATAAATACTGGTGGAGGGAACTTTCATACTTTCTGTCTTCATCTTGGTGAGGGGAAACAGGATTTGGTAGAAGCTAGCTTTACATAAGACAGGATGTGAATGCTAATAGTTCTGTTCTTTGGTTGAATGCCCTATCAAGTAGGAGTTTGAACTCCACCCTGCTAACCACTGATAATGTGACTTTGTAATAGGTGCTCTACAGTTTTCATACATGTGTAGACTGCATCGTTTCATCATAATGATTATGAGAAATGTCTTATTTATAACTCACTTAGACAACAAATTATTTAGTTGTAAGTTTTTTTCCCTTTTCTCTTAGTTTATTTTTTTTTTAATGAACATGAAACCACACAGTAGTTTGATTATACCATTTCTCTTTTTAATAAAGTTTCACATAAGATGGCTATTTGCATATTTGTTTGTCTTTTAAGTTACCTATCATTAAACCTGGGATGGGGAGTAGTTAAAGGAGAATATATTTTAGATATTCAGCAGCTATCCCAGTTATGCTTGCTAAAGGAAATGAAACACCAATTTATCTCCACAAGTAATATGACACTCTTCAGCCATTGTTTCCTCAAACGTTACCACACTTCTTCATCCTCAGCCTCACTCCTTTGAGAAAAATCAACCACATCACACATATCTTTTCCTGCAGTTACAATAGAAGAAACGTTCCTGCTCCTGGCAGGGCTAAGTCTCTCACTTGGCTCTGGACCTCATCCCTTTTTGCTTTCTCAAGGACTTCATTCCCTCAGTTATCAGTTTTTCCTCCTGCATGCAGTCATCATCAATACCCACCATTAACAATAGAAAGCAAAATTTCCTGAGCCAGTTTGGTTCAGTGGATAGAGTGTTGGCCCTTGAACTGAAGGGTCCCAGGTTTGATTTCAATCAAAGGCAAATAACTCAGCTGCAGGCTTGATCCCCAGCCCCGGGCATGCATGTGGGAGGCAACCAATCCGATGTGTCTTTCTCCCATCAATGTTTCTCTCTCTCTGTCTCTCCCCTTCCCTTCCACTCTCTCTAAAAATCAATGGAAAAATATCCAGGGGTGAGGATTAACAACAACAAAAGAAAGCAAAGCAAGAGCCCTTGTCCTTAACTCCATAAACCCCTCCAGCCCAGTTTCTCTGTTCCCTTGGTAGTAGAACTTAAAGCACTGTCCATGCTGGCTGCCTGTACCACCTCACCCCATGCATTCCTCAACCCATTCCAATGGCTTCCAATCCAGGGTGCCCAATCCTCTCTTCCCCCACATCCCAATCTGCTGTTGTCAAAATTAATAACCATCATGCCATTTCTACTGCTTTCTTGCCCATCTTTATTTTACTCAACCTCTCAGCAACAATTGAGAGCTCCTTCCTTCTAAACATCCTCTAGTTTCTTGGTTCTGCAACATGACTCACTGCCAGCCTTCCATCTTCCTCAACTGCTATTCTATCTCAGTCTCTTTTGCTCGTTACCTGTCCTTTCTCTGACTTCAATGTCAGCATGCCTCAGGGTCTGACACTAGCACCTTTTCTCTCTTATGCTCTCTGGGGTAGACTAAATAATGTCCCCAAAGATTTTTGTCCTAATTCCCAAACCTGTGAATGTTACTTTATATGGAAAAAAAAAGGACTTTGCAGTTATGAGCAAGTTAAAGATCTTAATATGAGAAGTGGATACTGGATTACCCACATTGGCTATAAGTGTAATCACAAGTGTCCTTCTAAACGAGAGGCAGAGGGAGATCTGATTACAGAGGAAGGCATTGTGACGCAAAATTCTTCGCTGCTGGCTTTTGGGATGGAGGAAGGGGCTACAAGCCAAGGAATGCTGCCTTAAATGCTGGAAAAGGCAAGGGAACAAATTTTTCACCATAGGAGGGAGCATGGCTCTCTGACATCTTGACTGTACTCCAGTGAAACTGATTTCAGACTTCCCGAGTTCAAAGAGAATAAATGTGTGCCACCAAATGTGTGGTAATTTGTTAGACCCCTCTCCATAGATGATGTTGTCCATCTTCACGGATCTGAAAAACATCTTTATACAATAAATTCAAAGTTGCTTCTTGTGAGGCTGCAGACCATAAATCCTGCTCAAGCAGGATGGATCACTGCCGCAGCCCCCTAACCAGCCTCTCCCTGTCACTCTTGCTCCTTCCACCCAGCCCACACAGCTGCAGCAGTGTTCTTCCACATCTGACACATCACTTCCTGGCAAATACCCTGCAATATTTTTCCATTTTAATTTCATTTTCCTTTTCCTTTCTGAAAAAACCCCAAATTCCCCAGTTGCCGACACCAGAAATATAAACAGGAAATGCACAGACATTAGTCAACTTATTTTTAGCTTATTTATCTCATTCACTAAGTCAATAGTCCCCTCACTGACCATTCCTTTTCTTCTATCTAGACAGTCTGTTTCTAATCCACCTGCCTACTCATTCTGGGCACATCTAACCCACCCATCTAACCCATTTTAATGTTAGAATTAGGGATTTTGCTCAAGGGCGGACACTATAACACTGCAGAAAGATCACGGGCTTCAGATGTAATAGCCCTGTCTTGGATCCTGGCTTTATTCTTACCAACATTTTCATTTCACATTTAATAACATTCAAACTCCTTAGCCTGGTCCATAGGCCCATTCTGATTTGGTCCAGGCCCACCTCTCCAACTTCGTCTCTGCTCTAGCTTGTATCAGTTCTCCTGCCCTGCTAGTTCTTTCTCACCTCAGGGCCTTTGCGTGTTCTGCTTTCTATGCCAGGGATGCTCTTCCTCTCCAGCACCCTCATACCCTTTCCTACCTTTTGAATTTCAGCTGTGAGCTTCCTAGAATGCCTTCTCTAAAGTGGGTCCCTCTTCTTGTTATTGCCTATCTCTATTGTTCTCCTTTGTAGCACTTATCACACTACATAAACATTTAATTGCTCTGTTAATTTTAATAATATCTGCCTCTTTGACTGGAATTTGGCTCCAGTCACAGCAAGATGCCTGACCTATTTTGTTCACTGCTGCATCCCCAGCATGGACCATAGTACAGATACATAATAGTTGCTCAGCAAATATTACTTGAATAAATGAACGAATGACTATATAAACAGAACAGACAGTGTTGTGAGCTCAATTATTTTGACTTAGACTATTTTGGTTGCAAAAGGTCGCATATTCCAGGGTCAAAAGTCAAAGGTCTCAAACAAACAAAACAGTTCTGGGGCAGTAGCTTTGAGGCCCACTACTGCCTTGGCCTCCTTCAAACAAATGACACTGGGGTAAGGGGTGGGGGCAGGGAGGACTATTTTATCCCCAGATGTACCTTATGATGATTGTAAAAAAAGCAATATCAAAACAAGGGAAGTCTAAGAAACTGTCACAGCCAAGAGTTGCTAAGGAGACATGACAACTATCCACACAAGAATGTCCAGCCTAAGAAAAAGTCTTATAACAGTTTATTTGAGCCAAACTGATGACAATTCCTGGGAAGGAACATCTCAATGCATTGAGAAAAAGCTCCTGAGAATGGCAGTTTTGCAACTTATTATTTTAATTGTGTTTTTTTTTATTTTCATCTTTTTAATAACTTAAAAATTTTTCACTTACAGTTGACATACAATATTATGTTAGTTTCAGGTGTGCAACATAGTGATTAGACATTTGTGTAATTTACAGCTTATTTTATACACTAGAATCAAA